CGGTCAAGCATGTACCTGGGTTGCGGGCACATCCCCAGTGGGGGATGTACAGGAGGCAGCCGATCGATGTCTCACTCTCATCGATGTTTCTAACTATCTCTCTCCCTTCCTCTCTGTAAAAAATCAATAAAATATATTTAAAAAAAAAATAATGAGAGCTGGGGGCTCCAACCAAGCCTCCTTCCTCTGACTATAAGGGAGTCATCGTCATGACGCTGACTGTAGCTATTTCTTGAGCACCTACTCTGTGCCAGCTACTTTACAAGCACCACCTCTTCTAATCCCTGGATGATGAAACGGGGAGCTCCAAACCCCCAACTTTCTCCTGGGATTTGTTGGGGGAAACTGACCACAGCCCCTCTGTCCAGACCTGGGGAGCAGCGGCTGGGCCAGGCCTGAGGGCACAGCACACAGGCTGGTGGCCACCTCTCACCTATGCAGTCAGCTCTCTCCCTGGGGCACTGGGCTGCGCCCTGCTCGACACTCTCTCCTCTGGGAGGTCCCTGACTACGTAGGTGGCCCTACCAGGGAGGGAGGAGCCATTCCATCCCTACCCCCCAGCCTCTGACTTCCTGATTCCCTCCTCCAGGAAGCTTCCCCCAGGACCCCCTCCCCTCCCCCCCCCTTTCACAGATGGGGAAACCACAGCCCAGGCAGGAGGAGGCCTCCTGGCTCCCAGCCCAGGGCGTAGGCCCCACTCTGCTGCCAATACCACACTCAATACAAACATGCTGGCCATGCCTTCCCACTGAGGGCAGCTGTCACTCAGGGCCTCAGGCTTTAAAACAGGAGACCTGGGCCCCTGCTGGCCCCTTGCATGGCCACAGCTGCACCCAGTGTGGGGCGGAGGTGACCCCCTCAGGCCGGGAGAGGCAGGGGCTGTCTGTGATCCTGCCGTCTCTGTGCAGGCTCTATTCCAGGTGCTTCCCAAATATCAGCTCTTAGCTATGACTTCAGCCAGACGAGAATGTCCCCATATAACAGATGAGGAAGCCAAGGACCTCAGGACCATTATATCCCCATTTTACAGAGGGAAACAAGTCCAGGGATGCTAAGGATGGATGGAGGTGAGAGAGCATGGGGGAGCTGGGATTTGGACCGGACCCCCTGACTGAGTACCAACTTCATCTCCACCCTGTACTGCTCCTCAAGTTAAACCCCCGTGCTCCACCCTGCTCCCTGAGGCCTGGACTCCACATTTCCTCTCTGAAGCCAAGAGCTTTGTTGGAAAAGGCTCTAAGGCAGTGGTTCTCAACCTTGGCTGCACATTAGAATCACCTGGGAATCTTTTTAAAATCCTGATTTCTGGGCCTCATCCTCCGGAAATTCTGTTTCTTTGTTATGGGGTGGGGCCACAACATTAGTAACAAAGAAACAGAATTTCCAGAGGATGAGGCCCAGAAATCAGGATTTTAAAAAGATTCCCAGGTGATTCTAATGTGCAGCCAAGGTTGAGAACCACTGCTCTAAGGGGATGCACAGAGGCTTTGTGAGTGGACCCCTGTGTGAGGAGTGTTGTTATTTAAATATCACAAATCTAAACCATAATAAAATGTCATTGTTATCAGTTCAACTCTGCCTGTGCTGTGCCTTCACAGAAAAATCCTGATACCTCTCTGAACTGAGGTCCCCTCTTCTGTAGGAAGGAGGACAAGGCCTCTACTCGCTGGTCATCCAAAGCAGACTGCCTCTGAGATGGCACCCAGGGATCCCTACCTTCTGATATTCATGCCCCGTGGAATCTCCTCCTTTCTGTGTGGACTAGACCTACCGACTCACTTCTACTGAACAGAATGTAGTAAAAATGATGGCTGTCCACATGGCAAGGATTTGAGGGAGGCCTCTGGCTGCAGCCAGTGAGGAACTGAATCCTGTCAACAGCCTTCAGAACAATCTTGGAAGGAGAGCGAGCAAACCTTCAGATGAGACCACAGCCCAGGTGCACCCAGCTAAGCCACCAAACCCTGCGATAATATATGCTTCTTGCTTTAAGCTGCTACGTTTCGGAGGGTACTAGTATTTGTTATGCAGCAATAGGTAACTATTATACCTAGTATTTGTCTATTTAGTGCCAGGCCTTATGCTGCACCTATATTCATTCAAGATACATTTAGTGAGTCCGCTGTGTACCAGGCATGGGGTGTATGTACGGTGGTAAGCCAGGCAAATGTCCTCACTCTCAAAGACCTCAAGGTTGAGCTGGAGAGACAGGCTTGTAAATGGACGGCGTGAGCAGGGCTATGGGAGCCCAGGGAGGCTCCAACCCAGCCTGGAGGAGTGAGTGGAGGGATGTCTGAGACTAGAGAACCTTCCAGGCAAAGGTGAGCAGAAAGGCACCTCGGAAAGAGGCTGAGAGAGTGACAACGTAGGTGCAAGGAGACCTGGCTCAGGAGGTACCAGGGGAAGCAGGCCACAGGAACAGCCTGGCTGGGAGGGGGCCGTGGCAAAGGGGACTGTGATCACGCAGGGCCTCCCATGCTCACTGCAGAGCCTGGGACTTGTCTGCCAGGCAGTGGGAGTCACTGGTGGCTGTAAGCAGCTGAGGAGCATGGGTAGCAAGATTGAGGCCATGAACTGGCTGCAGGTGGAGGACGAGGCAGAAGGTCAAACCAGAGGGCAGGAACCCAGGCAGGATGATGGACCGGTTCAGGCAGGGACTGATGGAGGCTGGGCTGGCGGAGGGTGGCTGGAGAGGAGCGGACAGACCTCAGAGATAGGAGGAGGCAGAATGGACAGGATTTGAGGTCTGAATGGGGGGGATGGGGGTGAAGGGGAGAGAGGAGGTAGGAATGCTGCCCAAGTGTCTGGCGCGGTGTCCCCGGGGTGCCTTTTCTTTGGGTGGGTGTGCACAGGCAGGTGGACAGTTACTTGCTGGGAGGGGCAGGATGAGAGGGATGAGTTAGTCAAGTGGAGTTTGTGGTGCTGCCAGAATAAAAATCTACAGCAGCTGCCCCACTAGGAAGAGGGCCCAGCGGAGAAAAGTGACAGAGCTGGTCTGGGCCCCACGGGCGATGCTGAGAGGCGGGTGACATTGGATAGGTTCTCTGGAAGCCAAGGGGCCAGCCAGGGTTTGCGTTGTTTAGGCCCTCTAGGGGGGGTGGGGGGTGGTGGGATTGGATAGGTTCTCTGGAAGCCAAGGGGCCAGGGTTTGAGTTGTTTAGGCCCTCTAGGGGGTTGTGGGAACAGCCTTGCAGACTTTGGGGACCACAACCTCAGCCCCCCCAGCCCGGGGAGGAGTCACCCACCTGCTGCCCGTAGCTCAGCGCCTTGTCGTAGAGCGTGATGCCCGCCGCCAGCACCCGCGCGCGCTCCTCTGGGCTGGCGCAGCCCACGTCGAAGCCATGGGCATAGCCCTGCTCCGCCAGGCAGCGCGCGGCGCGGACGT